CTACTTTCAATGCTGATACATCTCTGAATATCACCTGAATTTTAAAGAACTTTTCAAGTACATTAGAAACTCTTCCATTGTTGAATTAAGTCTGATCAAAACTGATAAGATAATGATTATGGAGTTCTGCAGGTGGAAGCCTAAACCCAAAGCATTATTTGGTCTAGATCAGGGCTGTCAAATTTGCAGTCCGCGGGCTGGATGCATCATGCGCTGACCACACCCATGGCCAGTTTAGCGAAGGGGGAAAAAAATTCCCGATACGTCACGTGACACCATGAGTTTGACACCCCTGATCTAGATAGATGATTAGAAAGGGTAACTGGAACTGGTGCTGAAACCAGAAGGAAAAGAAGTAATGAAATCTGGGTGGAAAAATGGACAGAAAAGATCATGGAAGGGCAAGTTGTTTCTAGATGCATCGGCTAGTCTGGAGCCTGGGAAGGAAGGGCTCCAGAAAGAGATAGATTGGGGGAAAAAAACATGGAAAAGTGATAAAGAACAATAGAAGTGAAAGAAGACCACAAGCATATAGTATAGTATAGTATAGTATAGTATAGTATAGTATAGTATAGTATAGTATAGTATAGTATAGTATAGTATAGTATAGTATAGTATAATACTATAGGTATTAGTATTAGTATATTAGTATAGTGTCCTATCCTATCCTATCCTTAGATTTCAGCAAAGCATTGGACAAAGGAGACCACAACCTACTTCTTGGTGAGACAGAAAAATGTGGGATAGACAGCGCCACCACCAGATGGATTTGTAACTGGCTGACAAACCATAATCAACGTGTAGTTTAATATGGCCACACTTCATAAAAGATATTGACACTCTGAAAAGAGTGCAGAAAAGAGCAACAAAGATGATTAGGGGAACGGAAGCTAAGACATGAAGAATGGTTGCAGGAATGGGGTATGTTGAGTCTACATGTTCTAAGGGAATTTGTATTTAAGTGAAGGTACCTTTTCTTTTCCCACATTAGATATTGTTTGGTGCTTTACTCAGACTAGTCATGATGCATCTACTACCTTGAATAAATAGGTTTAATTTCTCTCAGGATATAATTCAGAGAATATACAAATACAATGCTTATAATGAAAATAATATAGACCTTATGTGGTACTAAAATTTCTGTTCAATTTTTTATTTTTAAAATAGCGTACTGTCAAAAATATTGTGGACTAATTCTTGACCATTTATTCAAAATTTTCCATTTCTGAACAATTATGCTGGAATACCAACATGACAGAGATCGAATACCCACTTAATATAATTAATCTTCAATATTAATAAATATGTAAATTTCCACAGACAAATGGAATAGTCAGGAAGCACTTACAGCATTTTCAGTTTCAACTATCATTTCAATTACAGTGCGATTCCCTAAAACATCATTTCTACTTATCTGTTAAGTTCTAAGTTTTCTATAAAGCAACATTTTAAACAAGTTCACAATTTTGCTGTTTAAATTGCCTGCTAATCTATAGAGCCTGACACTTCTACAGCTGATCCGCAAACCAACCACGTTTTTACAGTGTTTTACTACAACAATCTACATTGGATTAATGTTAACCTTGCATTTGGAATCACATTTTAATTAACAATTATAGATCTTCAGAATGAAACCCCAATATTATCATTTAAGGACTTAGATCACAGTATACTTTTGTTTTACTTTAGTGTGCTTTGGATGCATTTCCTGTCAAGAGTCCAAAGGTACACAATGAACTCTTAATCCCTGTGGTCCCAGTGCCAATTACAATAAGGAGTTCTGCTATAACAAAGGGAGGACAAACTCATATTCTTGCAAGAGTGGATGTGAGAGAGTTCATGCAGACGTTTGGGGGTAGGCACTGATGGAATGATAACTACAGGTGATTATAATATAATATGGAAGGGGAAACTGAGTTTTTATACCTTAAGAGGAAAGCTATATTCACAGTATACAGGATGGGGCACAGCTAAGCCTTCTATCTTATACCTGTGTGTATGTATGAAACATAGCAAATTTAAATATGCCTGCATTTTAAGTTGCTTGGCTTACTTTAAAAGCTGCTGTTAACTTTCCACTGAAGTTAATACAACATTGATATTCTGGTGTCAGATTCAATCTGAAATCTAATGCATATACAATAGATTTTCTAATTAACACATGCTCCTTAATTTTAATATCAAATTATATATACATATAGACAACTTAAAGAGCATATCAGTAAAAAGGCAGTATGTTTTAAGTCTCTGGCTTGAAAAAATAAACCTTACGTTTAAACTTTCCAAATCACATAAAATCATTAATTTACAGATTGCAAATTTTATAATTTCATATTGTTTTTATAATGACATTCTTCAAATATGGGGAAATCTTTAAAATGTACATGATGTTGTCCTTTAGGAAATTGAGATTTCAAGTGTCAAAATAATATTCACCAAGAAAAACGAATCCTTAATATTTGCAGATAATTCTAGTGGAATTGTTACAATAGATACTGTAGTATATATGGCATTTTACACTATTAAGCCGTGCTGACAGCATGAAAAAAAAAGAGTACAGGATTGAGAGGACAATACTTCTGAATCATTATTTATGTAACAGCTAATGAAGTAGTAAACCATGCATGAAAAATGAATTGCTACATAACTTTTAAAAATGCATTTTTTCACAGATTACTAACAAATGCAGCGTTGCAGTTAAAAAACTAAATTACAGATTACAAAGATCAAGTCATTACTGATTGAACAAAACTGGTCTTAAGGTAACATCCAAAAATAAAGGAAACGAGGCACTGATTTAGCAAATTTTGGAGCAAAATAAAAACAGTCATCATAAAATAGGATAAAAATGAATGCTGTCATTTTCTTGCTGACTTTCTGCTATCTTTAAGATGCCAACCTTTTCCTAGGTTTCAGCCTGAAGCATTGGAGATTGCTGAAGGAACAGAGGAACCAATCAATTTAATTGCATTAAAAGATATATAGATAGATCAATAGCTATATTTCAGTTCCTCTTATAATGAACCACAGGCATCATGTTGACTGATTGTTATTATATCACGTTCAGAATTATTTGTCACTGGATTGGTTCTACATAATTTGCAGGATACAGCCCAACTTTTCCATTGTCCAGACGACCTTTGCACCATCCTTGTTCATCTTCATCTTCTATTTTAGTTAGCTCTTCGCCTAGGGGAGAGAAAAAAAGTAATCTGATAACCCATCTATACCAGAATGGGAATAAATGCTGCCTTTCTACAGCAGTTACGGTCTTCACTATTTCTACTAGTAAATTATAAGAAAATTACACTGATCTCTTACTTTCCACAAGCTCCAGGGGGAATCAAGAACCAGATTAACAAGTTGAAAAAAACCTCAAACCCAAATGATAATTGGGTTGTCAATTAACCACAACTGACATTAATAGCACCTGGGAGGGGACATTTACAATGATTTTACAATAGAGTCATTCCTCGGCTGATATTTAAAAACCATATCACCCACTTTTTAATCTGCTTTTTTAAAAATAAATCTTCCTTATTAGAAGTATCCCAGGTTGTTTTTGGGTAGGGTTAGGGAGTTGTGCCTTTGAGTCATTATTGACCCCTGGCAATTGCCTGGATAAATCAAAAAAAGACCAGGGCAAATTATTCCTGAAATTCTTGCCAAGAAAATTTTAGGGACTAGTCTAGGTAGTCCCCATGAGTCAAGGCTGGCTTGAAGCCAATAGTAGTACAATAGTAATTATTCATATTCATTTTTTACAAATTATATTGCCATATTACTTTTTACAGCCACAACAATTATCATATGACAAATGTATACACTGCTAATTAGTGCGTGCAAGCTTCTTACAAATGCAGAAATTTTAATGGGAAGAGGGGTTAGTTTCTCTCTCCATTTTTTTTAAAGAACCTCAAAAATTCCAAAATGCAAACAGACAAGCACCTGCCACATAACACCCCAGACTTAACAACTGTCGATAAGAAAGACCCCCAAAAAAGTTTGATAGTGGACCTTGCAGTACCTCAAGACAGCAGAATAGGAGAGAAAGAACTGGAAAAGATAACAAAATACAATGACCTGGAAATAGAAGTCGATCTAATGTGGCAAAAGAAAGCAAAGATGGTACCAAAGATGATGCCTTGGGCATGATTTTAAAACATCTGGAGATCCATTTGTACATCACCAACCCTGACAAAATCTCCATCAATCGCTTGCAAAAGTCAGCTTTACTTGGAGCAATTTACACCCTGCAACGATACCTCTAACACCCATCAAACAACACTGCCTATTCCAGGTTGTTGGAAAGGATTCTATAGGTGAATAAAAATGCCAAATTCAGTTTCAATATTTGGCTTACTGCGCAACCAGTCATCATAACAATACTACTATATTTATTTTTACAGATACAGGAATTCCCATATGATATGTCTACACATTCCATTTGTACCTGCGAACCTCCTACAAATTTGAGTGGGAAGCACCCCAAACGTTCCAAAATGCCAACACACCATAGATCTGGAGTTTCTTGCAATTGCTATGGTAGAAAAATATTTCCTATGCCCAGACAGGACCTACCAATCTTAAAGCTCAATTCATCATGTTCTTGGCCTTCATAATCATAGAGGGCTCGTACTCTCACTTCCATTGTAGGGGAAACATCTTCATCAAATGGATTAGATTCTCCTTGGCCATCATTGGATGAAAATGGATTGTTGGTTTCTTCATCGGACCATTCAGTCCCCAAACTCTGGTTTTTCTCATAGCTGCTAACACTAAATACAAAGAATAAATTATTTTAGCTTGATTTAGCTGAACTATTGGGCAAGACCTGTACATATGCCACTATTGCGGCCAACAAGGGCTCCTATGAGATGTTTTGTTATGTCAAACAACCAGAGAAAAGTCAGTAATAACAGTGCACTGAGAAGCATATAGAGTATGTGTATAAGCTATGAACCAGCAGTTCAGCGTCAACACTAGAAAGATAATTTGGTTAAGGAAAATGTTATATGATAAAAGAGAGTTTCCTAAAGGAACATATCCGAATAAATACAGCCAGTGATAAAATTCCAGCAATGGTTTCAAAGCACACTACCAAAGATCATGTCGGTGGAATCAGTGAAGAAAAACCAATCCAAAAATAAAATAGGAATAGAGCACTGGTGTAGGTTAGTCAAGTCTGCAAAAGGTATGTAACCTCTGAGCGAGAACTTCATGCACACAATGGTTTTGAAGAAACCCAGAGTTGGAAACCCTGGATAGAGAAGTGTAAGCAAGAAAAAACAAGTTGAGAACAGTCTTTCACCAACTTTTTGATTTTATTGTCCTCCTTTTCACTGACAGTACTTCCAGAATCTTCTTCATCTTCAAAGGGATTGTAACTTGACTGTATTGACTGCACTGTGTTACTCGGGACACTAACGTTGCTATTTGGGAGAAAAAAAGGGTTAAGGTGACCCTATCGTTTCATGGAGCCAACATATATAGAACAGGTAATAGCAGAAATATAAGTTCGTTTGTTTCTTGTATTTTATTGTTTGAAAAATCTTTAAAGAGAAAAGCTGAACCTTCCAACTCAGCATGTCTCCATCTTCCTTCTAAGATGGACGTTTTTAATTCATTTCTCTTCAGAAACAGTTTTTCTCAGTTACAACAGCTTATTAAAAAGTAAATCAAATCCAGCTTAAACATTGGAAGACAGTGAACAATGAACTGTAATATCTAATATAAAAATAAATCTGGTAAGCAATATAAATGGAGAGGTGCTTCAGACTTTATGGGTATATTACCAGCAACCAGAAAAGGCCCATTCCTCAGGCCTTATCATTTATAATGTAAAAATGGAGCCCAACTACTTGGCTAATTTCATGCCAAGAAGCACTGTTACTAAATTTAGCACTATGATAATATCTTTTGGATCTTTTGAAAACAAGTATTTGAAAGCATTTCAGTGGCCTCATGATGCAGGGCTCATTTTGCAAAGTGATTTAACCCGTCTTAACTCCTGAGGAAAGCGGCAGTGTATCTCCAAGGAAGCATGAAGTTAAGAGAGAAAAGCATTTGGTAGTTCAATGCCTATCATAATACAATTAGAATCATAAGGCTGGAAGGAACCTTAGAGGTCTTCTAGTGTCCAACCTTGGCAACTTTTAAGACTTGTGAACTTCAACTCCCAGAATTCCTCAGCCAGTTTCGCTGGAAGTCTGGGAGTTGAAGTCCACAAGTCTTAAAAGTTACCAAGGTTAGGAGACCCCTGTTGTAGTCAGTTCTGCTTAAGACAGGGGTAGGGAAACTTGGCTCTTTTATCACTTATGGACTTCAACTCCCAGAATTCCTGAGTGAGCCATAAAAGGTTCCCCATCCCTGGCCTACTGGTTTTTCAGTTGTGGGGGAAATCAATTTTTGACTTGAATAGGATTGTTTAATATACAAATGTAGGACATATAAAGAATATGTCCTACATTTGTATATTAAACAGTCTCATTCAAGTCAAAAATTGATTTCCCCCACAACTGAAAAATATAAAGAATATGTCCTACATTTGTATATTAAACAGTCCCATTCAAGTCAAAAATTGATTTCCCCCACAACTGAAAAACCAGTAGGCCAGGGATGGGGAACCTTTTATGGCTCACTCAGGAATTCTGGGAGTTGAAGTCCATAAGTGATAAAAGAGCCAAGTTTCCCTACCCCTGGCCTAAGGTAAGAGACCTCATACCAGAGGTCTCCAAACTTGGCAACTTTAAGACTTGTGGACTTCAACTCCCAGAATTCTCCAGTCAGCTATGCTGCCTTATACCATTCTGGACAAATAGTTGTCCAATCTTTTCTTGAAAACCTCCAGCGATGGAGCAGCCATGACTCCAGGAGGCAAGCTATGCCATTGGTTAATTACTGTCAGGAAATTTCTCCTTAGTTGCAGGTAGGATCTCTCTTTAACGAGCTTCCAACCTTTGCTTCTTATCATAAAGGAATAAAATGAAATTGAAGAAACCACGTTTAAATGAGACTTTTATATGAAAGAAACACTGCTTGTTAAATACGTTGTTCATATACCGGGATATTTTTCAATATACTTGAATATATGCTGATGTACTAAAGGACAACACAAAACCACAAGTCATTTGTGAGCATTAACAAAACTTTGAGGTTTTACATTGTACAAGGCATTTATATCAGAAACACATTGTTATGAAAGTTAAGCAAGCACATAAACTTTATTGAGCTACACATTAAGTAGAAACAAGTTATTCCCCAGAGATATTGGTAAATTATGCTTAGCCAGCCCCCTAAACCCTAACATTTTAAGTGGGATATTCCTGACACAACCTCTCTATATTGGCAATATTTGGAATAATATCAGAAATACGTGGTTGCACTTATGACTGCAGGGCAG